AAAGTTCCACATGTCCAATTATTGACCCCTGACGTGAGGTAATTATTTATAAGAATTGTTAATGATATTAATCCTTACATAAACTTTATCCAGTAAAAAGCTTAAAAATATTTCAGTAACTTATTTGTGTTATTTTTAAAGCAAAAAGGCAAACCTAACTTAGTTTTGCTTGAATGCTTGAAGTCATGAATTTTTTAAAAAAGGTGAATAACTGATTAAAGTGCTGCATGGTTTTATAAAAATCAATTAAAAAACAAGCCAGAAAGCGTGAAGCAGACCTGCAGGAAGAGGGAAGTGAGGACACCACATTGTGTTTGCTCTGAAGGTGCTGGCTCAGCTTTAACAGCTTCACTGGCTTTTACCGCTCAAAGCTGCTAATTTTTAACCCGCCTCAGAGTTTAATTATGCTTATAATTACAGTACAAGCAAAGAAAGTGTCATCTCCACAAACAGCTGCAGCAGTGATGAAGGTGTTTCTCTCTCTCTCTCTCAGGACTGTGGCTTCAGTCACTCATGGTATCTGTCCGTGTTCAGCGTCCTGTGCTGCCTGGGCATCGTCCTCTGCCTCGCCACCTCTGTGACCGTGGAGTGGACGGGCCTGAAGGTGGCCAAAGAGCTTCACCACAACCTGCTCAATAAGATCATACTGGCCCCCATGAGGTACGGCTTCTTGTCTCGGGTTGGGGGGAACCTGTATGTGTGTGTGTGTGTGTGTGTAACAGATAATTTATACGAGGAGGCAGAGTTAAAAGCGCCTCATTACTCTGAGCCCAATCTGCTTCCCTCACATGAAACCAAACAGTCAGCACTTACCCTGAGCACACACAGCTGGAGTTTACACAAGGACATTTAACCTAAAAGAAAAGTTTATTTCTGACTTTGTGGAAATCTTTAAAATGTAATTACATACATTCATACATTCATTTAGAGAAGATTAGATATACTGTTAGGGGATCTGTAAACAAATTCTTTGATATCTGGCAGCCATTTTTATCTTACGTAGAAAATTTTCAGCAGATAACTTTGTCTAATGGTCAAATATTGGTTCTTTGTACACAAACCTGTGCTTTGTATTTTCTGATATGTGAATACAAGATGGTTTCATGTAGAGACAATAGATCCGGTATAGGCGGGGAGGGATGGGAGGGATTTTGGGGGTGTGTGTTTTGTTTTGTGTTTTTGTAAGTCTGTTTTTTTTTTGTGGTTTATGTTAAAAAAAAATAAAAAAGACCTTGATAAAAAAAATGTAATTACAAGCCGAGTATCGTGAATCAAGAATATTTGAGACATTTGGTGAATGTGTTAAACGTTCTTAAACAGATAATTTATTTTAAAATAATTATTTTCAGTAATTACATTAATTGGGTAGGAGGGTATAATGTAATTTTCAGGCACATAGTTCATTTCTATACCACAGTCAAGTAACTAACTTCAGTTATGAAAATGATGAAATTTGACTTTGCACCATTTCCTATCTTAAAACCTTGAAATGGTCTCTGTCTCTTTAAAGGCACAGTGTGTAGGGTGTTGTTAATTCTTTTAACCGAAATTGAAATAACCACTAATGATAATAATAATAAAAAACATGTCTAATCATTGCAGACAAAGACCTTGCTTTATTATTTTTACCTTATAAAAAGCTGTTTATATCTCCATGGTCGCAGGTTGCCACTACAGGCAGCCGTCATCTTGCACCGCCATCTTGTCTACGAAGGCTCATGAAGGACAAACTGCGGTGGCGGCGTCAAAAACGGTTTTAGTCGTAATACTATAAATGTAATATTTGTTGTCTGTCATTGTAGCTGGGATAATTTTACTTATTAAAGCTCATAATCTTACCACTTGAAACATCACTAGCCCTGAAGCTGCTGGTAGACATCGCGGTTGGAATTATCAAAGGTTTTTGACACCTGAGAGACACCGTAGCAACTCCTTTGCGTTTGGAAGCGGGGGGTGGGGGTGGGGGGAGGACCAGGGAGGATGATTCAACCACTCAACCACTAGATGTCGCTGAAAACAACAAATCCTACACACTGTACCTTTAAGAACTTCCTACCATTTCTGACCCTCCCACTTCAGCACGTCTTCGCAACAATGCTTCATGCAGTTTACAACCTTTCGTAGTCGCGTTGTGTTTTGTTGTAAAACAAGAAGCAACATTTTGTAATACTGGCTTTGGAAAATGTCAACTCAGGATGCAGTTAACTTTTAATAAAATGATCCCACGTCGGATCTGGAAAGTGGGTTTTCTGAAGAACTGGAGCGAGTGCAGAGGCTCTTACAAGATGTTTCAGCTTGGTAATATATGTCCCAGTCATCCTTTTATGCGTATACATCAATGTTAAGCTACGTTTTGTGAAAAAACTATAAATATAGATCATTATATAGCTATGTTTTGCAATGAGATCATGGAACCCGAGTAGCTTAGAACACTGAGTGTTTCTAACTTTGTGTCCTTTGTCCGAGGGATGCAAAGGTTTGATTAAAGCTCAGTGTGTATTTGGGGAGAGTAATAGACCCACTTATATGGGTTTTTACCTTTCCCCATTCACCACTATCAAAAATCCGGTGTAGATGTGTGAGGGAGGGGTGCTCGGGGGAGGAGCTTTGGGTAAATTGGCGGTGCTTTGTACCAGCAAGTGTTTAGGCAGCTCTGAATGACTAACAAAGAAGATTCAAGATTTTCTCAAACATGCATGAATGAATCAAAGCTACACTCTGGTTTTGATGACATTACAACACGACATCACCCACACCCAGGGGTGACGGAGAGTTACCAGTTAACTTAACGAGCACGGTTTTGGTTCCTGTCTCTGCGCCCTCAGGCTGTTCGAGACGACGCCGCTTGGCAGCATCCTCAACAGGTTCTCCACCGACACGAACACCATCGACCAGCACATCCCCACCACCCTGGAGTGCCTCTCCCGCTCCACCCTGCTGTGTTTGTGCGCCCTGGGCGTCATCTCCTATGTGACGCCCGTGTTCCTCATCGCCCTCCTGCCGCTCGCCGTCGCCTGCTACTTCATCCAGAAATACTTCAGGATGGCTTCCAGGTGAGTCAGGCCAGAAGAACACACGTCGAGGAAAAAAAAAATCTGTTATTACCCAAACTAGACACATTTATTTGGGTTAAAGAGTGTCAAACTGCAGCAGATAAGGTGTTTGCTCATTCATTAATTAACTTAATTAGATTCTTATGTTTGACTCATCTGAGCTTTGCTTCGTGTGTTTGCGGCTCAGAGACCTGCAGCAGCTGGAGGACAGCACTCAGCTCCCTCTGCTCTCCCACTTCTCTGAGACGGTGGAGGGTCTCACCACCATACGAGCCCTCAGGTCAGGCTTGAGTTTTCTGGATTAATAAAAAATAAGCAGAACCGACGTTTCTGCCTCATGAGTGGAGAAGCTGCGAGCAGACAGGAAGTTGTCGGTGCTGGTGACGATGACTGAAACCCTTCTCATCTGGCAGGTACGAGCCCAGGTTCAGGCAGAGGTTGCTGCAGTTCACCGACGCCAACAACATCGCCTCGCTCTTCCTCACAGCTGCCAACCGTTGGCTGGAGGTCCGCATGGTAATGACCCGTCTGCTGCTCGGATCTTTAAAATTCTGATCAGTTCTGCTCCTCTGATCCTCACGCCTCTGGCTCACAGTCATGTGGACGGATGTTGTTGAGAGACTGCTCCCTCTGTTGGGTCACTGAAATACTGACGATCTGATTAACTCACAGGAAACGTCGACTTTGTCATGTTTAATGTATCGGCTCGTTGACACGATGTCCTCTCTCCTCTCAGCATAATGATGTGTAAAAATGAATCTGTTTCTGTGATTGTTTTTTCTTTAATGCAACGTGTCTTTGTTTCTGCAGGAGTACATCGGAGCCTGTGTGGTGCTGGTGGCAGCTGTGGCCTCCATCACCAACTCTCTGTACAACCAGCTGTCCCCTGGTCTGGTGGGGCTGGGACTCACGTACGCTCTCATGGTACATATTTATACCCTGAGTTTATTCACCGTATAAGAGATGCTATATTTGGCTGTGGCAGAGCGGTTACTCGTCTCTGCCGTTAAAGACCAAGGAGTTTAAGTGCTGGAGTGCGCAGAAACAACATGACCGTGTGATYGGCTGGTGAAGCTAACGGCTAACGCTAAACGGTCAAGACTCTGGATTTCCCATTACTGTACATGTTGACAACAGAGCAGAAAATAAGGACTGACAATGTAGAAATCACAAAAACTATTAATAATAATATAAACACGATTATTATTAATATTTTACAGTTTATAAAATCTGTCTAATGTTTTAAATCATGTCAGAATAGCTGTTTGTGTTATGGATTTATTAACAGAAGATAAACAGGAAAACGTCTCATTTTACAACAAAAATAAGCAGATTTGATTTTATTTAGCTCAATGTGATCTGAGCAGAACATAATATAACAGTTTAAAATTAAAACAATCTTATAAAGTCGATGTAATCACTGTTATTTATTGAACTGGTCAGCAGATATTAGCTTGTGGAGCATATATACAGAGTTTAGCTCTGTTGAATCATGCTACAATTTAACACAAACTATTAAATGTTACTTTGTCCTCTGATTAATATTTAGACCTTCAGAGTGTAAAATAATATTATAAATGTGAGTATTTTTAGGTTCCTGTTAGAGGAACCTGACCTGTTAAGAAGATGTTAGCTAATAGAGACAAGTTTCATCCTATAACCAGAGAACATTTTCTAACTGTTGACTGGTAAAATATAAATATTCTTATTTTTTATGACAGTAAGAAGAAATAATAAATATACTTTATTACAACCTGAAGTCATCATTTTTCAACTAGCTAAAGTCATAAGTTACAGGCTGACTTCAGGTCTGGTTTAGATCATTGTTACTTGTAAATGATATATTTTTCTGGTATAAATCTGCTGTTTTACATGATTGTTGAATGAAATTAACATAGTTATTAATTTATTGTAAAAACATGACATCATAAGTGAAACAGATCTGGTTCATTTGCTGTTTATCTGTTAGTTTCTATGGAGGCTGTGAGCCGTTGCCCTTTTTGGACGCCATTTTTGCTCCTCCATGCTGTCACAGACACTACCAGTGGACGGTATGGGCGGGGCTCAGTCTGGTGATCTTATTCAAGTCTAGGTTCAAGACACTTCAACCTCCTTGCCTACTGGTGGTGCTGGTGGATGATAGCCCCGCCTGTCAGTGTGTTTACATTGTAGCTTAGCATCACCAAGCACCTTTGAGTGTCCTATAAAAAGATCTATACAAGTTTGATGCATTATTATTGTTATATAGATACCAATTGAATGATTTAAATGTGAAAAAAATAAGGATTTAAAAGCAGATATGTCCCCTTTAAATGTTTTTTTTTCTTCATCAAACCTCTGAGCAACTCAAACAGCCRGAGTCTCCAAAGATACACCGCCACAACAAAATGTCAAAATGTCTTTTGATGCGAAAGAACTATATTACATTCAAACTGACCTCTTAAATATGTAWATATCGGTGCCATTTTTGTAATTTCAGAGAAAACGGAGGGCAAAGAAATAGGCAGCCTGTAAAAGTTAGGACTCCTTGAAAGCTCATTTATGGTTTTTAAAACGAGTGAAAGTGATGCTAATTTTAGAGCTTGATGAAAGTGAACCTTTTAACATCCAGTGGTCAGACAGTGATTCAGTTATTTGAAAGTAAAAATAAGCACTTAGAGCAAGAAAATGTTAAAAGTTTTCTTTGTTTAAAATGTAGAAACATAAGAAAAAAACTGAAGAAAGAGCTGAACAAAACCTAAATTCGGTCTGAGGGCCATCCTTAACTCAGAGCTTATATCTGGTGATATCACACAAGATCATTTAGTTATTTTACAAGGTTTGAACAAAACATCTCTTCAGCACAAGATCATTTTAGTCGTAGCCTAAAGACTAAGGCAAGAAATGCTTGAAAGAATGCCTTTAGTTTAAAAATGCATGTGTTCTCTTCGTTGCACTTTCACACAGACCGATGTCCAGACTGAACTGTGTTTCTCTCCTCCTCCTCGTGGTATCAGGTGTCCAACTACATGAACTGGATGGTGCGGAACTTGGCAGACATGGAGGTTCAGCTCGGCTCGGTCAAGAGGATTAACGGTCTGCTCAAAACCGAACCGGAGAACTACGAAGGACTCCTCAGTGAGTGGAGCACAGGATCTCCAATAAATCCGTTTTTTTTCTCAACAAACTTCATGATTTTTAATTTTGCGATAATCACCAACAAGTTGCGTCAACATTAATCTGACATTCGGGGGATTTTCTATTTTCTCGCACCTTTTTAAAAACATCATTAATAAAGAGATAATTGTTAAATCTGTGTTGCTAACAGACTTCTCCGTGTCTCAGCTGTGTCTCAGGTCCCTGACGGWTGGCCCCGGCAAGGAGAAATTAAGATCCAGAATCTGAGCGTTCGATACGACGCCACGCTCAAGCCGGTACTCAAAAATGTCAACGCAGACGTGAGCCCCGGTCAGAAGGTAATAACATCCAGAACACCAGAGTCTAAATAAAAAATAAAAAAAAGATTAAACTGGGCTGCGAAGAATTTTTGATTTGAATCATGTGATTTTTGTGTAAACCTGTGAAACTATTTGAATGTTTTCAGGTGGGAATCTGTGGCCGAACCGGCAGCGGCAAATCATCTTTCTCCTTGGCTTTCTTCCGCATGGTGGACATGTTCGAAGGTACAGTTTAAATAATAAAGTGAAAATAAGACGAATAAATCATTTTCTTTTGTATTGATTTTATTCTCTTTTTCCCCAACAGGGAGGATTGTGATCGACAACATCGACATCTCCAAGCTGCCTCTGCAGACCCTCAGGTCTCGGCTGTCCATCATCCTTCAGGACCCCATCCTGTTCAGCGGCACCATCCGGTACGACGCACTGCTCTGTCAACAGGAAGGCGTCTTCACTGCGGTTTACGTCTGATGATAGTCATAAAGAGGGACGCTCAGAACATTTCCAGGGAGATGTGCAGTTGGCAAACAGACAGTGACGACACTTATCTAAAACTCAGAGAGAGCTGCTTGTAGATAAGAGCTCGTTTCTCTGAAAAGACTATCAGAGCTGTTTATTTTTATGCCTCAGTGGAACGGACCATAAAAAGCTTTCTGTGAGCTGGAGGATGGATGAAAGGAAAATATGTCTTTAAAAGATGCATGAGGCCTTTTTGTGTCTTAGCTCTGAAGTCAACCATCTTGGTCCGGGGTTGGGATAGGGGCGTATTTACTCAGAGGGTCCCACCTGCCGCCCGATGGCTCTGCAGAGTTGGTAAACAGAAAGTGCACGCTCGCTCAAGATCAGGTCCAGTCCTGGKCCACTGGCTCCTACCTGTTTGGGAAGTGCATGGTGGAGACCATTGGAGCCAGCCTATTGATTTGTATGTGCTAAGAGGACATATTCCAGGTGTACTGTTTGAATAAAACTCAGCCAGTACATTGAGTTTTTGTCATGTGATGCACTTTCGTAGGGAGGGAGGAAAGTTCAGAGAAGAGAGGTTTAGACAGAAGAGGGTGAGCATTAGGGGAGGAGTCAGGAGTGGTTGGGGGTGTGGTCTGGTAGGTGTATATAGGATGTTTACAGTGGGGCTGATCTAATCAAAGGAAATGTTTAGATTTTTTAGAAGAATCTTCAGGTGACTGTTTACAGTTCACTGAGGTTAGGAGTATTATTATTATTATTATTATTATTATTATTATTATTATTATTATTATTATTATTATTATTATTATTATTATTATTATTATTATTGGATGTATACTTTGGAGTGAGTAATATAATCTTGGTCTGCCAGTTAGAGGAACTAGTTTAACTGTGGTAGTACCTCCATGTTATGTGGGTGACCCATGACCCATAATGCTTTGCGGTTGGATAGGGGGCGTGGTTTATTGTGGTGTAGGGCTAAGATTTGGTGGATTTGTTTTAATTTTTGAGCCTCGTTTTTGTAATAGTTTTGTTGTTTTAAATAGTATTTGTGGCTATTTTGAGGTCTGAAATTTAAAGAAGCTGGGTATTTTAGGTCTCTGCTTTAGCATGTATCTGTGTGGTTAGTTTAAGGTAAGAGGTCAGGGTTAGGCATGTACCTGTCAAAGCTGTAACTTTAGGTCTACCATTGGGGGGCTATGCTCGAAAACCCTGCATGTCATTTTCAGAAATTACGATTAAACCTATATATGACATTGTAATTATTTTAAACGTGTCAAAGTTACCTAAAGAGAACAAGAGAGTTACATCTGCCTACTTAACCAGTTAATTTCTATTGTTTGTGCAAATTATGTCATTTTATTGGGGGGGTTATATTGACTGAATCAAATTATTGTGGGGGTCATAACCCCCCTAACCCCCCTGCAAATTATGTCTATGGTATCTATGTGGTTAGTTTAGGTAAGAGGTTAGGATTAGTGTCCAAAAGAGGAAATTCCATCCTTTATGTTGCATCTCTACTTAGCCCAAATGTAAGTAAATGTATGTGGTAATTATTTTTGGGTAACAATACTTCTTGGTAATAAATCTTATACTGGGCACCTGGGCTTACCAGAAGCTCAAAACGTGTCAATATCAATAGCAAAATAAGCTGTTTGTCAGAAAATATTTGAGTTTTTTCATGTGCACAACCCACATAGTCAGCTCTACTGCTCATCCCACGGATGTATGTTCCTTACAAATGTGGCGCCATTAAAAAGAGAAATTAACAGACTTTCTGAGAAGCTTTGTTACAACAAAGAAATCATCTAAACATAAATTTCATTACTTTCTGCGTTTGTTAAAACCACACAGCTCTCTGCTAAAGTCTGTAAATCCTGTTAAAAGGTTTTGTTTACCATGAATTCTTGCAGTTTTAGCTCAGTGGGCTATTTTAAGTGAGTTCTGAGTGATGAGACATTAATTCGAAATTTCAGCCAAATGTGAATGTTTATTTTTTTTATCAGTATAGCTGAATCAAGACTTTCTGTAAATAAATTAAATTTTCAGATGAAATTCTGGCTGTTTTTAGGGGAGTTTGATCAGTTTGTTGGACACCAGAAGCAAATGTCCAATATTTTTACATTTGAGACATTTTATTTTAGGCTAACGGATTAAAAATGACCTTAGGTAGATTTGTATGTGGGAGTAATTGTTGTTACAGCACTCAAAGTGTCTTTTGTGTGTGTGTGTGTGTGTGTGTGTGTGTGGCAGGTTCAACCTGGATCCAGAGATGAAAGCAACAGATGAGATGTTGTGGGAAGCATTGGAGATCGCTCAGCTGAAGCCTGTTGTTAAAACTCTCCCAGGAGGTCTGGGTAGGAACACACACACACACACACA